GGGCTGTGTTTAATAGGATCTGGAGGACTTCTGAGCCCTGCTGAGAGGGCAGTGGAAGGGATCAGAGATCAGGAGAGAGGACACGGAAAATTGAGAGCAAGGAACATCACAAGGATGAGAGGGCAGACTTTGGGGTTGTGGGATCCAATGTCAGGATCCATTACACACATACTCATTAAAGCTGGGGTGTTTCGTTATGAGGGAGTGATTCTGTAGACAGAAACCAAGAACAATATCAAAGGAGTATGACCATTAGGTGGCTGCCCTTGTTTGAGCAGGCTGTGTCATGGGGACGGGCGAGAGAGAAGGTGCGGAGTGTCCGCCAGGAGGGTGATGCTGAGTCACAGCCGTGAAGAGAGAGGCAGGGCATCCTGAAGGAGGGCAAGTGATGTGCATGCAGGGAGTGTGAGTGAGCAGGTCACAGGAAGGACAATTCTTCCTCTACCATCATTTAAGTTGGGTATAACACGTGGAATGGGAATCTCTCTTCACTCTCCAGCCCTCAACAACAATTGTTAAGTTAGTGAAATCAAATGATTCTTCAATAAATGGTGCTGGGACAATTGGCTCTTCACATGCAGAAGAATGAAATTGGACCCCTACCTCACACCATATATAAAAATTGACTCCAAATGAATTAATAACCCATAAAACTACTAGGGAAAAAATATACAAGTAATCTTTCATCATTTCCCCCCTCTAATAAATTCTCAAATATGACATCAAAAGCATGAACAACAAAAGGGAAAAAAAATCCCCACTAGGTAAACCGGACTTTATACAAATGAAACACTTTTGTGCACCAAAGGACTTGATCAAAGAGTAAGAGAATATCTACAGTGTTTTTGTTACGTGTCGTTGAGTCGCTTGCGACTCATAGCGACTCTATGTACAAAAGCCCTAAACTCCGATACACCCATCCCCATTACCCCAGTCACTGAATCAATCCACCTCATAAAGGGCCTTCCCCTCCTGCGCTGTCCCTCCACCCTACTAAGCATGATATCCCTCTCCAAGGACCGGTCCCTCCTTGGTAACCAGGTGCCTGATACAGATTTATGTCTAGAATATAGAGAATTCCTACACCTCAACAACAGAAATGCAAACAGCTAATTTTTTAAAATGAACAAAACACTTGAATAGATATTTCTCCAAAAAGAGATACTCAAGTGGCCAAAAAGTACATGAAAAGATGTTCAATTTCATTAGTTATTAGAAAAATACAAATTTATCACAATGAGGTATTTCTACTGGGTGGGACAATGGTTTCCACTCGGTGGACCATTCAAAGGTTGGGGGTTCAAATCCATATGAAGGTGTCTTGGTTTGAAAGGCCTGGCCCTCTACTTCTGAAACCTCAGCCCTGAAACCCCTGCAGAGTGCAGCTTTACCCCAACACACGCATGGCCACCACGCATCAGAACCGAGCCGACAGAAACAGTAACAGACAGGTGATTAATGAGTACATTAAAACATGAGAGGCACTGGGCCTAGAAGGTTCACAGAGCACTATTCATAACAGGCCCAAACTGGAAATCATCCAAATGCCCATTAACAATAAAATGGATAAATAAATTTGTGATCTGTTTACCGAGTGCAAGAGGATAGTGCAGCAATAAGGACGAATGAACAACAACAAAAACACTACAATATTGATAAATCTGATAAACTAACGTCGAGCGGCAAGACTTCAGACGCAGATGAGCCCAGGCAGCGGGGCTTCCACAGATGGCACAAACCCAGGCAAAACGAATGGGTGCTGTTACAAGTCAGAAGGAGCAAAGTCTAACCTGGTGGGGCACGGACCTGAGCGGGAGACGGGGGAGCTTCGGGTGGCTGGGACATTCCACCTCTTGGTCTGGGTACTGGTTCCATAGTCTGACAGGGTTTGGCAATTCACTGAGCTGCACCTTTATGGTTCCTGCACTTTTCTGAATGGATGTCCCACCCAGTAAACAGATCACCAACAGTGAATATCAACAGCATCAGAACTAAAGAGCAGAGAAGGTGGAGGAGGAAGAAGACAGGGTGGAGGGAGAAGGAGGGAGGGAAGGCTGGGCGCTCTCTGCTGTGCGAAGAACTCCTGAATCAGCCAGCAGCTTGTCATCTCCGTTACTCCTCAGCCTCCCAGGGCTCCATCAGACAGTCCATCCTGGGTGTGCATGTGAGAGAAATGGGCTCCCTAAAGTTCAGGCTCACAGAATGGATGGGCAAGGTGAAGGGAGGATGGTACCGGGAGGCTCACTTGTACAACTGTTAACTGAGAAGACAACATGTGCGTGAGTGAGGGAGTGAAAAGCAGGGACAAAAACCTGAGCCTTGCTATTCCAGGTATGATCCTGGAACACGAAGATCACCCGGGAATTTGTGGAAAACAGGGCCAAGCAAGCTGAACGGAGGATCCGGGCGTCACCCAGGCCTCCCCAAAGGGACCAGCAGTGCTTGCAGAGGCCTCGAGTACCCTTAAGTGTTGAAAACCCCTCGTTGAAAAGATGGCCTGCATGCCTTCTCCAGTTAAGAGTCTCGCTGCGAGAAGGCCTGTTGGGAAGTGTGACACACAGCCTTCTCCATGCAGGGCCTCTCAAGAAGCCTGCCAAAACCTGGCGGCCGGGGAAGTCAGGAACCTCAGCGTCTGCCCTTCCCCATAGGAAGGGGAGCCAGGGTTCTGATTCGGGGAGCTCTTGCAGCATGGCCCCATGTAATATCCTACTGATTCCAATGCCAGCAGTCACAGTGAGAATACTGTCAGTGGAGGTGCCTGTGTATGGATCACTAGTGCTGAAGGCTTTACATCATTATCTCCTGAATCTCCAGGTCTCAGCTGTCACTAAGCCCATTTCTGCAGATGTGTAAACTGACAGGGAGGGAGGCTCAGTATACTGCAAGAAATGAGTAGAATCGGGAGTCTGTGACTGACCTGCATCTCGTGTTCATCCCGATCTCCACCTAGAACCGCATCCTGGCATCGTCACCCACAAATCACAAGGTCTCGGGCAAGTCCTGGCACCATGGACAACCTCCTGCTTGGCACTGCCAGTATCTACCTGCCACCCACCTCACATCTCCGTGAGAGTGGATCTGGGTCCCTCACGCAGCAAGCATGCTGCACAAGGCCAGATGTCAAGAGGTGGGGCTCCAGGAGCAAGACGCTGGGAGGCAGGTGGCCAGGAAGGATGGACACCCACCAAGTGGGTTTAAGGCCAGTTCACCACCTTGTAGATATCATTATAAAATACTGGAAAACTGGGGGAACTCAGTGACTATAAAAACCAGGGCCAGCACCGAGGGCCACAGTGAGGCTGGCAGTCCTGCAGGCCGCTGGCCCCACGGGGTTCTGCCCGGCACAAAGGGCCGCAGTGAGCCTCGCGGGCCCCAGGCCCTGTGGGGTCCTGCCCTGCACAGCTGCACCAGCTCGGCTCACCAGGGCATTGGTGCAGAGTGCTGCCCTGTGGAATGAGCTGGCACAGGCAAGCTGGGCTCACCGGCATGGGTTTCTGTTGGCAGCACTGGGGGGTGCTTTTATAAGAAAATGGAAAGGCTTCCCCTGAAGCACTGCATAAGAATTCTACAGACATTTCTGTGTCCCCCTTTGTTAGGGCATCCCCAGTGTGGTCTGCCACCCCCGACCTCCGTAAAGACACCACCACACCCCACGCTGTCCCCACATCAGACGAGTAAGCACAGATGTGGTGGGTTGCTGGTGCTAATTTAAAGTCACCCCACCAGGTTCAGCAGAGCCAGGGCTGCCCCAGGTGCGGCCCCTGCAATCCTGGCTCCAGGTTCAGCAGAGCCAGGGCTGCCCCCAGGTGTTCCCCCCCAACCATGGCTCTCCATCTATTACTCCAGGACTCGAAGGTGAGACCGGGCATGCAGAGGCCAGGCTGTGCTGCTGGCCCCAAGGTGGGGCCTCTCTGGTTCACACCCACCAGCAACCCTGAGGGTGAGGCGGGCCATCTTCCTGTGCGCTTTACAGCCTCCTCCAAAAAGCCGCTGGAGGAGCTTCTCTGAGGTGATTCAACAGCAATGAGACAGAGATTCTAAACCAGCAAAAGGTTGGCAATGCTAACGTCCTAGGCACATCCGATCAAAACGGCACAAATCACAAAGAAGATTTAACATGAAACCAATCTCCTTTCTCCAAGACTACCTACCATCAATCTGAGTCCTTCCAAAGACATTCCATTCATCTTCAAGTACACACGCAAACACCTTCCCTCCCTTCCCCGTGTTTCACCCACACAGGATTCTAGAGACCATGTTCGACACCTTGGCCACTTTCAGGGCATTTAGTGGACGGTTCCACTTTAAACAGGACATCAGCGCATCCTCCTAATTTGCAGCTGCAGGGGGGGGGGCTCCTCATGTTCTGTGACCCTTCTTCATGGGCACGGAGGCTATGTCTGACCCTCAGTTACAAGGTGAGTCCCAGGCTTTGCTCTGACCATGATGGGTGTCAACCCAGACCTTCCCTTCTGTGCCCCTGCACGTGTCTGACGGGGGAGGGCGTCAGCCACACCACTGCCCTAGATGTGAGGGATCGCCCCTCTCCCCACAGCCGACCTTGGCTTAGAGGAAAGCTAAGCAGGGACGTGAAAGGAGTGCCCAGACAATGGCGACAAGGAAGATGCCAAGCCTGCCAAGGACTTGCTCTGTGACACTGTGTGGCCCTACCTGGAGAGCCTGTACTGGTTACAGGTCCTCAGCAAAGACACCCCCACCCCAGCTGTGTCAGGCACTGGTGTGTGGCTGATGTGAGTGGCCCCCTCGCCATAACCACTTTGGGAGGGAGGCACTCGTATCACTCTTTTTTGCGTATTGGAAACGTGAGGCTTGGAGAAGTGCAGCAATTTGCCCTGGGTCACACAGAGCCAAGCCGAGGGCACTGTCGGGATCTAAACCCAGGTCGACCTAGCTTCAGGGTTTAAGCACAAAGCTGCGAGTTATGGTGGTCGGAGACCGGCCCTGTCCCTGAGGCTCCACTGCTGCCACTCTCTACCCACCATATTGCTCAGACCCTTCTGTTTCCTCACGAAGAAGCTGCTGGAGCCTTCAAAGCGCTCCCCTCGCTCAGGGCACTAGAGGCGGGGTGGAGGTGGATGAAGAAAGAGCTGTCCACAGAGACCTTCCAGATGCCCAAGGCCAGGCTTGGGAAAGGCTGGGAAGGGTCAATCTTCTGGTTTCGTCTCCCCACTGGAGAGAGGGCCTGGCCCTGCCCGTCTCCGGCCAGGCAGGAGCTGAAGTGAGTGCCCACTGCCAGTTCAGGGATCCTCCATTCACTCAATCAGTTCTTAGTCAGCACGCACCACTGGGGCTCAGAGCCTAGACGGGGACCCCCAACCCAAATTTGATTTCCAGCCTCTACGATGCTCAGCTGCACAGCCTCGGAGAGATCATTAACGATCTGAGGTCCAGCCTGGCCCTCCGCTGGGTGAGTGCAGTTAAGATCACACTCCCAAGGCCGCTGGGCAGCCTGGAGGCGTAAAGTGCACACAGGAACGTGTGGCAGGGCATGGGGTCAATGAACAGCGCATGCTGGTCTGATTACTCTTGGACAGGGCTGACCTCTCCTGGCCCTCAGGAAGCTTGGCGTCTCCTCGCCGGCCCCCCGGGTGTGCCCTTGTGGGCACTGGGACGTCAGAGCCAAGCGGGGGTCAGGGAGCAGCCGAGCGGAGCTATCCTGCTCTTGCCTTGCTGGTCGATCGCCGGTCCCCCTCAGGACGGGCTATTCTGACCCCATGGCCAGCGATGCCTCTCGCCCTCCTCTCGGAATGTTCCGGGTCAGTCCTGTCTAAAATTAGCCACCTCCAAGCAGAGGTGGCTCCTGGGAACCGGAGCCGTGACGCTGTCGCCTGAGCCTTCTCCGTCCCACTGCGCAATGACTTGGGGGACGCGGCCACCCACAAACATGCTCCCATGTTTACAGTCGTTCCTACATCAGGATGCTGGGGCTAACGGCTGGGAGACGAGATCAGCCGTGATCTCAGGATGCCTGCCCGCCCCCTGCCCAGTATGGCCGCCCGGCCGCCCGTCACAGGGAAGGCCTGATCTGTCCATGCCCACAATTACCTGGAGCCGGCTCTTCAGGTACGATCTGGTGCAGAAGGCGTCTCAGGTGCAGGCTCCGTTTGGAGGAATTAATTCCCTCAAGCGGTGGTGCCAACCCACTGAGCCCTAGCTGTGTGCTGGCCCCGACCCCCTTAGGGTGGGGGCTCCTCCTGCTTCTGCCTTGCCTTGTGGGGACTGGACCGGGGGGGCCAAGTAGTTCCGAGGCATTCTAGCGAGTTCTGGGGATTAGTTTCACCTCCACGTGGCCCAGTCATGGCCCTGACACATCTGGCACGCACGCTCAGACACAGACGTGCACCCACGCCCCCGTACACCTCCCCACCTCATTACTGGCACCCCACCAGGCAGAGCCCTGTGAGGAGGCAGGCGTTTGCACCCCCCACCCCCACTCTATCCAGGAGATCACTGCCACCAGCCACAGATCCCGTCCAGCTGTAGATATCATGAGGAAACGGCAGACAAAGAGAGAGATTTAATAACTGGAAATAAGACTAAGGATACAGATAGTTTAATTTTGTTTTGTATTGCATCTAATTGCAATCAACAGCAGACATCTGACACAGTGACAGCCTCAGCAAAACTGCTGATGAGAGAACAGCATCTTTGTCTAAAAATAATCAGACATTCTGTGCACCACTGTTTGTTATAACGGTAATCGATGCTGGAGGCTTTGAATCCCATCAATTTATAGATCTGCGCCGGCCTGCCTGGCGATGGGGCGCGGGGCGCGGGGCCGGCTGGCGCGGGCAGGCGCTGGGCCCGGTGTGTGATTAAGATAAGCCCCGATGCCTTTCATACATTCCTTATCAGGTTCTAATTCTCCAGCAGGTAGAGATGTTCACAACAGTTAAAGATTAGTGCAGCTTCTCAGACGCCAAATTTGAGGGTATTGATCAATAAATCAAATCAGGCCAATCAATCGCCCAATCAGGAGCGTCTCGCCGGTACATTATCGCTGGCGCCTTCAAACCAAGGCTATCCATGGGTTTCATCAAAACAGCCTCACCTTGGCTCGCCGCCAGCTGCTGGCTTGCCTAATAGACTCGGCAGCCGAGAGGGGCTCCGGCCCAGCGGAAGAGCAATAAATTTCTCATCAAACAGCCGATGGAGAGACAAGATGAACATCTGTTTTGCTGCAATGAAACTCCTGTGTTCTTCAGAATCGCAAACCGCGTCTGACAGACCACCCCAAAGGCAGCTTCCCTGGCACACGGCGGCCCCGCGGAACATTCCGCCGGTTATTTCAATCAGGTAATTTAAGGAGACTTTTGCATTCTTCTCTCTGCAGCTGCCAGAGCTTTGCAAAGACTATTCTGGCGCAGTCGATAATAAATGCCATCCTGGGACCCTGTAGCATGAAGGCAGTTTTATGATACCCATTATGTGGCAATGTAACTTCATTAAAAGCTGTTTATTCCCTCTAAGCATTTTAAGCACTCTCCTACACCCACCAAAGGGGAGCCGGCAGGTTCTAAGAGGGGTTTGGGCTGCGTGCCTTCCCCTCACCCTCTGCCCACTGGCCTTCTTGCAGGAGGAGAGCAGGAGCCGTGGGCCCTGGACCAGGGGGGCCCAGGTGTAGGCACGGCCGCTGCGGGCACCCCAGCCCAGGAGAGGCAGTGGCCACAACCCTTTGTTGCATTCGCCCCCTCAGATGGGCTGAAGAAAGACAGGCATTGCCACGGAGAACACATTAGCCAGGGCCTCAGAGACCTCTCCTTTCGCTCTCCTGACACTGGCATGTCTGAAGAAATGGTCACCTGGCCTGCAGGGAAGGTCCAAACTCCCTCCTGGAGAAGTCAGAACCAAACAGAACACACTGCCCTCCAACCGGGTCCATCTGGTTTCTGAGACTGCCGATCTTCACGGGGGAGAACACTGTGGAGTTAGCAGCAGGTGTGAACTCCCAGTCTATGGGTCAGCAGCCTCCAGCGCTCTCTAGCTAGCAGCTAAAAGATCACCTGGCAGTTCAAGTCACGCTTTGAGACAGCCCTAGGTCTCCCTCTGAGAGAAGCGAGGCTGCAGGGGGCTGCGGTCCTTTCAAAGGGTCTCTTTTCACCCTGCGTGGAGAGCCAGTGAAGCGGATGATAGCCCCTGGCTTTTGTGGAAGCAGGAAGGGAGGGCAGGCTGGGGGTTCACAAGGAACAGGCTTTGAGCCCCAGAAAGAACACTGCCCCCCACTCCTCTGAGCTTCAAAGTAAGACTGGTGGACCCCCTTCCTCCTATGTCTGCAATGCTGGTCCTGAGGTCCCTGCCCTGGCTGGAATCAGGAGGGCCTGACTCGTAGTGACCTGCAGGGTCCCTGGGGCCGTGGGCCTCCAGGGAGAAGTGGTTTCACCCTTCTTCATCCTTGTCCTGTGAAGTGGTGGAGGCTGCACACCGCCAACCTTCCTGGTTAGCTTAACGCCTGCCCACTGTGTCACCAGGGGACTCCAGCTTCTGTGGGGGCACCTGAAAGGGTCTGGGGTGGAAGGATGGGCTGGTGAAACATGTCTAACAGGGGCCCTGTGTGGAGTGCTCCTGGCGTCCACCTCCCTGCTGTCCAGTTTGGTTCTGACCAGCAGTGACCGTGCAGGACAGAGCAGGAGTGCCCTCTACGGCTTCCAAGGTGTAATCTTCATGGGAACAAGCTACATCTTTCTTCCAAGAGGCCGCTGCTGTGTTGGAACCACTGACCTTTTGGCTAACAGTGTACACCTTACCCGTCACACCACGAGGGCTCCTGCTCCAGGCAGAGAGGAGGAAAACCAACCGCAGCTCACGCTTAAGCAGCCCACAGACAGGCCCCTAAACACCACCGTCCTGTCCTGCAAACCCACACCCTCAGCTGCCCATCGACTCAGACTCAGTGGCCCTGGGGACGAAGCAGAGCCGCCTCGCCCGGTTTCTGGGGTCATGACTCTGCGCAGAAGCCGACGGCTCAGTTTGTTCCTGCAAACCAGCTGGCGGCTTGAATGGCCAGCTTCCAGTCGACAGCCAAGTGCCTACCCACGTGCCTGCGCAGGGCTCTGAACACCATGAGACGGTGTAATTAGAAACCTGAAGCCCAGGGACAGCGAAGGCCATTTCTCCAAGGTCAAAAGCTGGTGGGCAGAATGAACCCCTCACATCCCTCAGCTGCTGACTAAGGCCCACGTTCTGTTCCGGGCACCTCTGTGGGCACTCTGAGGATCTCGTTTCATAGGTGTTCGGACAGTGCAAGTGGTTTGAGCAAGGTCAGGACGGGTGAGTTGGGACTGGACAATACCCCCAAGCAAGTCCTTGACCCTTTGGGGGCAGTTTCTTGTTCCCTGAGGTTTTGTTGGGCTCCCCGGAGCTCTGGGATTGGGGTCAGGGCACCCACCAGCTTCCAGCTTCCATTTCCGACCTTCCAGTCTGTTCTCCACCATCATCTCCAAATGACTTTTAGTTCTTTGCATTTAGTTTTCAATAAAAAGGGGGAGAAGACCCCAAAACAAAACCCAAAGCAAAACAAACCACCATAAAATAAGCCCACACAGCTGCCCTGGTTCTGGGCAGGACCCCCGAGGCCGTGCACGGTGTGAACCCGCACAGCTGCCCTGGTTCTGGGCAGGACCCCCGAGGCCGTGCATGGTGTGAACCCACACAGCTGCCCTGGTTCTGGGCAGG